TCCTGGTTCTACATGTAAAGGATTCTCAACTCCCCACATACACTGCAATATAACTCAATGTGTTCTTTTGTTTTTCAGGGCCAGTACAAGTTTAAGTGCCCTGCTTTGAAGGATGGCACCGTGCAGAAGTGTGATAAAGAGTGGTCCTATCAAGAGGTGCGCCGGCTGGCAGTGCTGACAGCTTCAGAGATGGCTTACTTTGAAGAGAGGATGGCCCGTCTGGCTGCCACAGAATACTGTGAATTCAAAACAGTGAGTTGTTTGTTTCTAATATCATCAAATCATGCGGAAAACAGAAATAAAGTTTAGGTCCGATAAATATTTTAAGTCCATGTTCTAGGTGCACTTGTGATGTCACAACGTTATAATATTTACTAAGTGCCACTACAGTACCGTTACAGTAGTTACTCGCCTAATTTGGTGAAGAGATGCAGAAAGGAAAGATGTGAAAGACCATGAAACACCGACCAATCAGAGCACTCTGGCTTTTTTGGGAAGGGGCTTAAAGAGGCAGGTGTTAGGTACATTCAGACAGACAGTATGAGAGATGTAATGTGTGTTTACATGAAAGCATATTACAAGTGCAAACCTGAAAACAAGCCTGATGTCTCCAAGTAATATTTTACCTATATATTTATTATAATTATGATTGAACTCAAACCAGCAACAAGTTAGCTTAGCTCAGCTCAAAGACTGGAAACAAGTGGGAACAGCTATCCACTGACCCCGCTCTTTCAAAAGGCATCCGTGAAACCAGTTCTTGTCTGTAAAAATCATAGCCATTACATTTTTACTCTTTCGTTATTGTATGGAGTTATACATGAGAGATAGAAGACCATAATAATAATAATGGGAGAGACGTGAGAGCCAAGTCTAAATCTACAAAGTGTGCCTCTGCTGTGACATGTTTCCATTCTTTAATGTTCAAAAAGGCCTTTATTTTTCTCATACTGCCTGCCTGATACGTTAGCTGGCCGTCCCTGTTGTGATTGGTCCCTTAGAATATATCGCGTACAATGTGTCGGAGCACTAGCCAATAGAAGCGTTTGAAGTAGTGATGTCACTATGTCCAGGAAGTAAACAAAGGAGTCCAATCCAGGTGTCTCAGGCAGGGATTCTAGCCTTTGCAGACCATTTAAATTCACAGGAATCTAAAAAGCCCACTAACGGAACAGGAAAACCCCCCAAAGCTTAACAGGGCCCCTTTAACTTTTTCTCACATCCCCTCCAACAGTGTCCTGGCTGTAAAACGTATGTGGAGAGAGAGGACCAGAGCAACCTCAGCGTGATGTGCACGATCTGCACGGACGAAAAGAAGAAGGTTTACAACTTCTGCTGGCAGTGTCTGAAGGAGTGGAAAGGCGCAGCACCGCGCTCGGACCGCTGCGACAACGACGGCTGCATCAACGCGGTCCTGGAGCTCCTCAACAACTGCAAGACCACCGCCCTCTCTGAGGTACAGGGGGTCACTGCTTGTCCCTCCATCCGGGCCTGTCCCACCTGTGGTACAAAAGTGGAGCACGACACAACGGGCTGTAAGAACATCATCTGTCCTCGCTGTCAGGTGGAGTTCTGCTTTGTGTGTCTGAAGCTCACTCCTGAGTGCCTGAAAACAAGCTCCTACTTCCTCCCCTGCAGTGCTGGCGTGGCTCCCAGACAAACCTCCATACCTGTGTGGCACCGAAACTAAGAGAAACACTGCACACACATAGTTTACTGTCTTCGACTGTGATAACTTCCTCGGACTTCAATGCAAGATTGCCTTAGCAACTAGAGCCAAAAGTGTAGACTTATAAGCTTATTTATTCACGTATTGAAAAGATCTGCTTTATTTTCTCTTAATGTTTTATAATCCACTATTTGTAATGTTGTTGTTGGATCTCTTTTCAATAATAGTTAATCATTAATAACTGAATAAATAAAGTTTCCCTTAACATGAGTGTGGAACGTCTATTTGATGTCAAACAGGTGCACATAATACAAGTTGTAAATGGGTTTAATGAAAAACTATTAGCATTTTCCCACATGCAATATAAAATTCTAAATACTTTATAGATATTTTACTTATTGTAGCTGAAAATTTTTCAATTTTGCACAAGTACTGTAGTTATTGAATTGTAAAAAGTTGCTCACATGTATAACCTTTCATTGTAATGCAGCCGTGTCGAACTCAATTTCATCGCGGGCCACATTAGCATTATGGTTGCACTCAAAGGGCCGGTTGTAACTTTAAGACTATATAAAAATACATATATAAATATATCATATATATAAAATAATGTATTATATTACATTATTGCCTCTGCATTGGATTATTATTCGATAAGGTAATACCTTCATAATTAACTACGACTGAAAGCAGAAGTCTAGGGGAAATAATTGCAAGTCTCTTCAGTGAGAATGTCACAAAATGATTTAAAAAGAAAAGCCAAATTCTAGAAAAAAAGTCACAATAAAAGAAAAGTCAAATTCTGAAAAAGAAAAAATCAAATTCTGAGAAAAAAGGCAAATTTGAGATGCATTGTGGGACATGTAGTTTATGGGCAACGTGCTTCTTTAAATCATCACGTAACCGTATAATAAACATATTATATTCTTTGCAAGCTCTTGTGGGGCCACAGAAGATGAACTCACGGGCCGGATTTGGCCCCCGGGCCTTGAGTTTGACACCCCTGAATGTCAGTAGGTGCTGTAGCGCCCCCTAGAGGTAAATCCCAAAGTAACACTGAACAATGGCACGTTTTAAGACTGGAACAGTTGTTTAATAGCCAACACAGTCACGGAAATTAACAAAGAAATATCACATTTCACAAACAAGGGTTTTTACATTTGTCTGACCCTTTGACATATGACACACTTTTCAAACAAATTGACCCAGAATTTATGGCAGATTATGTGATAAGTCAATAATGGTAAAGCTTTGTGTAAACACAGTAAATGAAGGTCAGTACGTCCCCAATTTAGAGTTTGGAGAAGCAGAAAGGAGTTATAGAAGTGAAGCAAAAAAAGGCACTGCTGTATATTTAGGCTACCTTAAAAAAAGGCCCACTAAAAGCATCAGTTTAAGTGTACAGTGTATTAACAGGAAGTAGTAGGCTACAGTATTTTGGACCATAACCTGACTGAAGTAGCTCAAAAGTTCAAGCTACAAGACACACCCAGCCCTTTGAAACCAGCAGATACATTTAGTAAGTGACAATTATATTATTAATCCACAATAAAACCTGTGGAAATGGGCTTTAAATAATCGTCCATACACAGGTTTAAGTTTGTTTTTTAACACTTAAATACGAGTGTGACTGGAGTTTATTGTTTGGGCACTTGCTGAAACACAGATCTGGTGTAAAATCTATTAAAAATGTTTCCAGGAAAAATATATGTCCAGAGTAGGTTTTAAAAATTTAAACTGAGTTTTTTCATACTTCTGTTATTGCCATCCTTGTCACCCACTCCAGGTAATTCTGGGTCCACAAGACTCCCTCCTCCACCTGATACTTTTTGAATTACCAAGATGTGTAATTTGTCTTGGATTCCATAGTGAGACAACAGAGCAGAGTCCTCATCCAGAACTCTCTCTGCGAAGATCAGTCGCAGGTCTGATCGATCTACAACATGAACACACAGAGACTATTAGACTAGGGCTATTTTAACAGAATCAATGTCCGGTAACCTAAAGAGATATTCCACTTAAAAGGCAGGATTAAAAATCGAAATGTATGTCATGACTCATGTATATTAACATAAATTCTTGGCCTTGAGACTGAGACTCGTTTTCCTCAGCTCGTGTGTGTGTTGCTTCCAGAAACTCTTTTAATCACTCACTCTCTCTTTGTATGCCATGTCCCTCAACCGTGAAGTGAGGATCTTTGAGGATCCCAATGAGGCCAGGATGCACATGGCAGCATTGATTAGCGAGGCTCTTGTCCATGAGGCCAGGGCGAGGCTTTTCATGAGAAGCAAATACCCAAGTCTGTAATATAATCATTGCTATTGCTTTTTATTGATGTAATGTAAAGGGTCCGTTAGACCTTTTTATGCAACCGTTAAATAATTGCTCAAATATAAGTGCTGCTGTCTTATGTTGTATTACAACTTTGATCTCAACCTCTGAAAAAATATAGGCTACTGAGACCCCTGCCATCCCTCCGAAAAAGAAAAGAAAAAGCAGGAAGAGACCCCTTTCTAATCCAGTGGTCACACGCAGACGTGAGAGACAACGGGAAACTCAACGCTCCACATCAGGTTTGTTCTTTACTATATCATGATTTCTAAATCTAAGAATAAAGATAATTCATAACAAAGTTATTTTGGTGTACACAGTATGAAATTATGTAATGTAAAGATACCTCTTGACAAATCTGTTGCAATGTTTAAAACATTTTCAAATTAAATCAAGATATTGTAAGAGCCTGTGACTGATAATCCTTGCTTGTGTTGTATTTTTTTAAAATGTGTACCTCGATTTGGATAAAAGTATGCTCAATGTAAATGGTCATTGTGATGCTGTGGTAATATGTTCTTAGTTTCATTACCTGCAGTCCTTACAGAGCATTTTCATATTACAATTAATTGGTGTAATTTTAGATTGATTGAAGGGTTAAGCAAAAATGACTGTCTCTGCAGCTTCACAAGCCAGAAGAGACGATCCTGTGCATGAGGAAGGCCTCCAGCTAGAACATCAAGAGTTTGGTAGTCTTGGTGAGTATATTGATTATAACAGCAGTTGACTGGCACTACAGTTTTTCCCAATGTTTCCATTTTTATACTCATCTAGTTAATCATAATAAAGTATTGAGTGTTGACTGTTTCATGACAAGTGAATGCATATTTGGTATAAGTATCACTTGCTAATATTGCTTTGGATGCATATGATGATTCATAGCATGTTGCTATTATTAGTCCGCATATATTTTTCCAACTCAAAAGTGGTTCAGTATACTACCTTAATATCCATCATACCAGTTTTAGGGTGGCGGCTTAACAGCTGTTTTATTTTTTAGAAACACATCTAGAGTTAAGAGTTAAGGGACACCCTAACTGCAGTACAGGTTACGGAGGCAACAGACGGAACGGTTTCTGCCTGGGCACAAAGGCAGCTTCTCACAGATGTGAGAATGAAAACGGCTAGGCCAATGCTTTTTAATGCAAATCTCTCAGCTGAGAGAATAGCCATTCAGAAGTGCCACAGATGCTGTGCAGAAGAAGCGGTTTAGGTGTCTGGACTTGGTTCCACTGGACATGGAGTTCCACTGTGCAACCTGTGACATGGAGGCCCACAAGAGGAATATCTTCCATGACAGAGAGGCTGTGTTCAATGGATTTCTGGAGCCCATTCCCCCTAAAACTGCTGTGGTGGTGGATGAAAATGGCCAGCTTCAGTTTTGTGAACAAAGTATGTAAAGATTAACATTACATTACAATGTCCCATTATAGTGTAGTTCCCATAATTAAGTGCGAATGGGAAGTGTACATAGCTGATTGAAAAAAGTATGATTGGTTTTGACTAGGGCTGCAAGATATGTGGAAATTATGCAAAATGTTATTGAATATCTTGATAATCTGGAGAATTAAGGAAAAAATGTAAATACACCCTTCCTAACATATTTTCTATATTGCAGTATGTCAACTGCCTGTTCCTACTCCAAGGTCAATCTGTGAATGCTCTGATGACGTCACAGTTACTCCTTGGAAGCATATTTCTGTGGTCACCATCAACGGTAAGTTGTTCTGAAAGCCCTTCTTTTTGTACAAGTAGTATTGTACGGCAGAGTTTTACCACTTTGTGCAACGCAAAGATTTTTATCACCTGGTCATTTTCAGACAACACCCAAATGCCATGTCAAATAGCTAATACATCATATATGCACATCTATGTATAAAATACAATATGTTAAGGCAAACTCACAGTTTGATTACCGAAATACCTTTACTTTGTCCATTTGTTCACAGGACGATACAATGTCTGCTCTGCAGAATGGACTCCTGAGGTTAAAGACCTCCTTTTGTATCGGTACTGGCCAGCTAGCACCAGCTGCCAGACGCTTTACAAATATGATGTGTTCACCTCATTCGAGCACATGAAGGTGACAGCACCAGCCATGTCCAGGCAGGCATTTCTGAAAATGTTGGAGCACAGATCTGTTCAAGCTGGACGGGTAAATCTGCCTGAATCACACGGAAACATACAAAAAACAATATCATATTACTGTATACCATATAATTAATTGTTGGCATTGCTTTCAAAACAATTACTAATCCACTTTTATTAAATCAATATACAGACAGGTAGTATCTGTGCTGATACATTTCAGCGAAGCTTCTTCGAGTTTTGCTTCCGTCAGTACAAACAAGAGGTTATGTGCCAGGTCCATCACTTTGTTTGTCCAGCATGTTCTCCAGACATGTTGGCTGTCTGCTGTGATGGAAACCGCAAGCATTACCGCTTTTCCAAGTCAAAAGGATTTAATTAAAGTCAACGTTTCAGTTTTTTCAGTGTACATAAGGCGGCTCTCACGACTGACAGGGACATTTAACGGCTCTTTACTGATGTAGTCGTAACATAAATAATAAGCTACGACAAACTAAGTAGTACAATGAGTAAAGAACTGTATAAGCAACATTTTGACATGTTCTATATAGAGCCTAATTCTCCTCTACTATATTTCAGAGGCAAGTATTGGTATTTTGTCTATTCATCTGCTATCCTATTGCATGTATCTGGAAAAGACAATACTTACATGTTAAGATGCAGTACAATGCTGTAGCCTTATCTACCCTGTAGTATACACTCATCAAATAAACCAGGTTTACTATAATAAAAGTTTATTAGTTCATTTATATTGTGAGCAGAAAACACATCAGTTTTTGCACAACGTTTTAAAATGCATTATTTGACATGTTGCCACTGAAGGCTGCTTTCTTCATCATTAACAACTGCATCACTGAATCAGGCTTTTCTTAGTCAGTGTAGATTTTATATTGGATGACTAACAGCTGCACATTAGTGAATACATGTATGTTGGACTGAGTTAAACAACAGCTAAATAAAACAAATAATGACACATATTAAAATAAATGTAGTCTTTTGACAACTGTCAACGCTTTTCATGTGTTGCCTGATCATTGATATCATGAAACAGCTCTGTGGATTGTTAAATATACAATACGTGAAACAAGGTTAGCATTAGCATTTATGCTACAGGAAGTGGACTGGTAGTGATGACAGTGATTTGCACTTTAAGCCACTCCCTGATAGTTGTGTAAAAAAATCAAGTTGCGAGACACATCCATTAACTTTCCCTGTTCAAACACTTTAAACAGTCCACACACAGAGCAGGCGCATAACAAGACATATGAAATGAAATGATTAATCCAATATTGGTTTTACACTAAAATCCCAGCAGAGTGTGATATGGGATAATCGTTTGGGCACTTGTGTGAAGCTCTGGTGTGTTATTGGAATGTCTCCAGGAAACAGTTCTGTCCAGGGAAGGTTTTAAAAGTCAGCGAGCCTTTCATTACTACTGTGTTTCCCATCCTTGTCACCCAGTCCAGGATCTCCCGGGCCCCCAGAACAACCTCCACCACACAATTTTAACACCGTGTGAATGGTTGAATTATTTTGAATTCCGTAGTGTGATAGTAGAAAGTCGTCCTCCAGTTGGTTGTCTCCGAAGATCAGTCGCTGTTGTGACACTAAAACATGGACACACAGGAACACACGCGTACAAAGAAAGGGGGTCAAAACCAGGCACTAACAACATTTCTATATCGCTATATATGTCTTTTTTTGACCTGCAGTCCTACTAATTCCTGGTGGAAAATAACCATGCTGACCTAAACACACACCTGAATTCTCGGTTATAAATAACAGCTTACAAATGTTCTGATGTGTATGTGATTGCAAAAACCCAACAAACAAAGGTCCTGTAGCCCACTACATTCTGACGCCTTCCATCAAATGGCAAAACACGTTAATCACACGGAACATGGTTACATTTTAACTTTATGGTTTAAGCATATAGGCTATAATCTGCGTCACAGCGGCTATTTCAATAGTGATCATACCTGGAATTCCCTCGAGAGCTGCAATCTTGTGTTTCAGATCCAGCACTGTGGCGCCCTGAAACTCAGTGTCGTCCAGCACCAATTGATATTTCTGACCAGAATGCCCTTTAATTAAGATTGACACAACCATTTCTGCGGTGTTGCTGTTTGGGTTCCTTTATTTGGTTGCAGATTACCGACACCGACGAACTGAATAAATACTTTCAGTTTCGTTCTTAATCTTAAAGGTACACGCACCCGCCTTTCAATGCTCATTGTCTCTGTATTCTAGTTAGAAATCTCTTTGACTGCATTCACGTAAAAAAAAAAAAGCCATGTATTCCAAGTTTATTATAAATGCTCTATTTAAAAAGCATTAACATATCAAAATATTAAAAAAATCCAAGCCACTTATGACAAATATACAGATATTATCCCTGGCATTTCATCACTTCCATGGCGCTTTTCTGTCTCTGTCCCTGCTCTTTGCAGACTGTCCTCTATCTTCAGGACTTTTCCCTTCTTTTCTCACAGTTTGTGTGCAATCTGCAGTCACAGCATGTTGCATGGTCTCCCCGTCTTTCATCGAATTGTTGGATTTTCTGCATAGTTTTGGAGAGTTGTTACACTTAATGGATGGCTGCATGCAAACTTTAATCGTCCTGTGTCCTTTCAAGTATGTAAGTGAAGAAGAAGAAGAAGAAGAAGAGGAAACAGGAAGTGACTTCACATCAGAACTACACAAATGTTCTTCTGCTTCCCCATGTTTGACTCTATTTCTAAAGCTTCCTTTAGCTTTCTGTGTTCCCAAGACAGTCTCATTCACCTCCAGTCTTTTCTCTGTGGATTGCTCTAACACATGGTTCATCTCGTGTCTTCCCAAATGTTCCGAGTGTTTCCCTCTGGTGTGTAAAAGCTGCATGGGCTCCTCTGAGTTCCTATCAAGCTGCTGTCTGATCTTGTGACTCTTTTGTAGCGTTGGAAAATCTGACTTGTGTGATTGCAAACAGTCTCCATCCGCTCCAGAGTCTTTTCTCTCTGGCTTCACACACGGTGCATTCAGGAGCTTCAGGTTTCCCCCTCCATGGCAGCTTCCATCATTGAGTTGATGATGAGGAACAGGAAGCTCTCCTCTCTCTGTCTCGTCTTGTCTTCCTTCAGCATCGACTCCTGAATGTGAACGGAGATCATCCTCGCTTTCATCATTTTGTTCAGGATGTCTGCTCACTTTGAAGAGAAATAAGAAGGGTTGTTATTGAATTAGGCCTTATCATCTTGGACTTAAAGGGACAGTGTTTAGACTCTAGCTTTTTTATGCACGTTTTTGGAGGTATGGGGAAGTCTGCTTACTCTTGAATGGAACTGGATGGCACTCAACTTGTGGTGCTCAAAGCGATACAAATCATTTTGAAAAACTTGAAAGGAATGTCTCTTTCCAAAAATCCTAACCTAGTTACTCAAATAATCAACAGACTTTGTCGTGAGCAGCTTTCAGGAACTATTTACTAACTACCAAACACCCACTTAACATATCACCGCGCAGAAGTAAGCGTTCATCTACTCAAGGAAGTGAGGCTTTTTTCCTAGTTCCTGGCTCCTTAAGTAACGGCGTAAGGTTTCTGAGAATAAATATATATTTCTGTTGATTATTTTTTTGGCCTTTTTGAACACCACAGGCTGAGTGACATCTAGTTGCATTTTATTCAAACATAGGTAGACAAATATGGCTGATATCACCAACACTAAAACAAAATCTAGATAATTAATAGCACTCGAAGAAGAAATATTAGAAACTAGAACTGTACATTTTCCAACTCACCCTTCTTGTACATGAGGAGGTAAGCTGTACAGGACCTTAGGGAGTGATTTTCAGCCCCAATGAGTGGTGGTTGAACCTGTGTGATTCAAAAACAATTACAGTAAATGTTGTACTGTTTAACTGTGCATAGATATGTGACACCTGACTGCATATAGAGAAACTAGCCTCCTTACCATGTTAACAATGTTGTCATTAAAGTGGTACCACGTGTCCGTTTCAATAGATTTGATGTGTGCAGTGTAATGACCCCCTGTTAGATTCCCAAAGTGGTTCACTAAAGCGTAGAGGTCATATTTGCATTTCTGCAAAAAGGGAAATGAAGCAAATCACCACGTTTAAGAAATCAAAGAATCTGCTGCTGAAATCAAGACGTATATAGGGAAACATACCCCGATGAACAGAGATTTCGGGACATCCACGTTGCAGTGGAGCTTAACGTAACACCTGAGCTTGTAGTCAAAGCTGAATCTCTTCAACAGGAGGGTCAAAATCCCTGGATGTGTTGTTACCTCACATTGCTAGAACAGATAATGAAAACATCACGCACAAGAGTTGCAAAGTCACTTAACATATTAGTGACTTCAGAGAATCTAAATCAGGGGTCAGGAATGATGTTGAACAATGTTTAATGGGGAGCACTGGAGATGCATGGCGATTAGGGGTGGGGGAAATAATCGATACAGCATAGTATCGCAATACTTTGTTTGGCGATATTGTATTGATACACGGATGCCAAGTATCGATTTTATTATATAAACCTTAAACAATGCCATCTCCTTTTTAGGTTCAAAGAACACAGATTGGGTTATTTACATAAACTATTCATATTGCAAATACATTTTTTAACCAGGAAGGGAAGACGGACATGGATATGACCCGTGTGATTTGCAATATCGCAATATATCGTATTGCAATACTTAGCATATCGTAGAATCATAATACTATCGTATCGTGGCTTAAGTATCGCGATAGTATCGTATCGTGGGGAGCCTGGTGATTCCCACCCCTAATGGCGATGTATTAGACATAGAGTGCCACAGTGACGCGTCCTAAAATCCGGAAGTAAGTTAGCATTTTACCACTTCCGGTTCCTTCGCCAAAAAGTAATGCAATTTCTCATCTCCATAGGATTTTGGAAAATAGCTGGAAATAAGGTCATTTAAGTGACGGATCACGTTTTGTTCTACGACATTAAATACATCAGCAGTGACCCCACTGGTGATTTCTGAAGAGTTTTCGTGTCTGAAAAACGATTGTTGTTACCAAGTGGCTGATTAGGACTACAGAAGTTGTCGAGGCCGTTGTACGTC